AAAAACCCCAAATCCCAAACCCTTCCCCGTGTGCAATCACACACTTCTATTGAACTCCACAGCCCTGATTTTAACTCCATCACTCAGATTTGGGAGCTTTGGCCAAGGGCTCAGCTCCAAAGCAGTGTTCTGCAGGGGGGCAGTGCCAGAAAGCTCAGAAAGCTCAAAATTCCAGGTTTGTGGGATCCAGCAGGGCTGGGAGAGCCTCTCCCAGGGTGGGCACTGCAGAGCTGAGTTCATTCCTGAGGGTCTCCAGCACTGAAGGGTTTTCTGTGGGGCTGCAGGGTCCTCAGCTGATGTTTGGTGTGTAAATTTTTTCTTTTTTTTTCTTTTCTTTTTGTTAGGGTCAGGATTAAAAGCATGAGAGACAGTATTTTTGTTTGGACTCAGATGTTTATTAATTTTTATTTATATTACAGTGAGTTCTGCAGCACTTCTAGCTAACAAGCTAAAAATGGAGTCATAGCTTTTTCTGTACAAGGCCTTGTAAGGGAAAATTGTCTAATTAAGAATGGACACTCAAATTATTTTAATTTAATAATTAATCACCTGTGGCCTGTAATGCAGATTTTTTTATTTAATTACACAGTACTGCCTAAACTCATGAAGAAGAAGGTGAAAAAGAAGGAAATTTCCGTTCTAAAACTTCTATTTTGCTTTTTATGTATTGTTATATTTTAAGACTTTAAATTTTATTTTTTTCACTCTGAAATATTACACACTCCTATTCAAACTGCACACTTATAATTCCAGTTTTATTAATTTTTGGAAGCTTCTCCACGGCCTCAGTGTTTTTTGGGGTCAGTGTCAGCACAGGAAGTCAGAAATTCTCAGTGCCCAGGGTTCCAACACCTGCAGAGATTTTTGCTGTTCCCTGGGGTTGGCAGCGAGGGGCATGAGCTGGGGGAGGGCTCAGTGTCCCCACAGTGTCCCCACAGTGTCCCCACAGTGTCCACATGGTGTCCCCACTGCTGTGTCCCCCTGACTCTGTCCCCATGGCTCTGTCCCATGGTTGTGTCCCCTCAATGTCCCCATGGCTCTGTCCCCATGGCTCTGTCCCCATGGCTGTGTCCCTACAGTTTCCCCACGGCTGTGTCCTCATGGCTCTGTCCCCATGGTGTCCCCATGGTGTCCCCATGGCTGTGTCTCCTTGACCCTGTCCCCATGCTGTCCCCCTGGCTCTGTCCTCATGGTGTCCCCGCTGTTGTGTCCCCATGGCCCTGTCCCTGCCGTGTCCCCATGGCTCTGTGTCCCCACGCTGTCCCCTTGGCCATGTCTCCACGGTGTCCCCACGGTGTCCCCACGGTGTCCTGGCTGTCCCCATGGCTCTGTGTCCCCATGGTGTCCCCATGGCTCTGTGTCCCCACGGTGTCCCACGGTGTCCCCATGGCTCTGTGTCCCCATGGTGTCCCCACAGTGTCCCCACGCTGTCCCCACGGTGTCCTGGCTGTCCCCATGGCTCTGTGTCCCCATGGTGTCCCCACGGTGTCCTGGCTGTCCCCATGGCTCTGTGTCCCCACGGTGTCCCCACGGTGTCCTGGCTGTCCCCACGGTGTCCCACGGTGTCCCCACGGTGTCCCCACGGTGTCCTGGCTGTCCCCAGGTGCGGATGGCTCTGAAGAACGCCGAGAAGGAGCTGGAGTCTCACAGCAGCTGGGCCGCCCCCGAGGCTCTGCAGAAGTGGCTGCAGCTCACACACGAGGTGGAGGTGCAGTACTACAACATCAAGAAACAGAACGCAGAGAAACAGCTGCTGGTGGCCAAGGAGGGGGTGAGAGCCATGGGGACAGCTGGGGCAACCATGGGGACAGCTGGGGCAAC